AAGGCAGCCATTCTTCACCACAGAGACTGTGTCATCACGGGAGTGGTAGGCTCTGATGTGACTCCCTGAGCTGGCAGGGGAGGGGACACTGAGGGAGAAGCGCACAGGCTGAGGAGTGGACTTTGAGATCATCCCCCAGCTACAGTGTGGAAGGAGGCAGACGGGCATGTAATGATAATGTCAGCCGGGATGGGCAAGGAGCAGAATGCATGCCTCAGAAACATGTGGGGACTTACAGAAGGAAGGGAGGCTAGCAGCCTTCACTTAGGCTCAGACATCAATGAGAATGAAGTCTCTAGGCTTGGCAGAATGAAGGCAATAATACTTCTCAATGAACCATGAAAATTATTCCATTAACGTCTATCATTACTGCTGTGGCATACAGTGAGGAATCTAAAAGAGGCTGCTCATGTGGACAAGACAAGGAAACCTCTTTCTAACTGGAGTGCAGATTCATGCAATGCCAGAGGCTGAGGCTGAGTTTAATGGCATAAAGTATTGTTAGTGATTAATGAGTTCACAGTTTGTGCTGGGCCTTGAAGGTTGAACAGGCTTCTGATGATAAGCAAGGAGGAGAAAACACTCCAGCTAAAGCGGACCACATAAGTAGAGGCTGGGAGGTGCGGAGCACCACAAATCCCAGAGGCAGAGGAGAGTGGCCAAAATAAGGCATGAGGGGCCAGCAAGGGTAAGTATGGAGGTGAGATTCGGAAAGACTACAGATATTCATACCATACTAAGGAGTTCTTTGTAGGAGAAAATGGGTGAGACATGATTAAATCTGTGCTTTAGAAAGAATACTAGATGGAGTGCAGAAGCCTGAGGCAGCAGCCCAGGCCAGAGATGGCACAGGCCTGGGTGGGGTGGCGATCTGAGGAAGAGGTGGCTGCGGAAGGGCGGTCCCCCAGAGAGGCGAGGCTTGGCAAGCAGTGCAGGAGGGCACACTGAAAGGCTTGCAGCTGGGTGATTGGGGGCAGGTGGCACCATCCACAGGCTTTAAAAAGTCAGGGTCAGGTGTGGTGGCTTATGCCTGTAATCCAAGCACTTTCAGAGGCTGAGGCAAGAGGATCCCTTGAGTCCAGGAGTTCAAGACTAGCCTGAGAAACATAGGGAGACCCCCGTCTCTATTAAAGAAAAAAATATATTAAAGAAAAGAAAGGAAAGGAAAGGAAGGAAGGAAATCAGCCGGGTATGGTGGCTCATGCCTGTAATCCTAGCACTTTGGGAGGCCAAGACGGGTGGGTCACCTGAGGTCAGGAGTTCGAGACTAGCCTGGCCAACATGGCAAAATCCCATCTCTACTAAAAATACAAAAATTAGTCGGGCGTGGTAGCACATGCCTGTAATCCCAGCTACTCTGGAAACTGAGGCAGGAGAATTGCCTGAACCAAGGGGGCAGTGACTGCAGTCTGGGTGAAAGAGCAAAACTCTGTCTCAAAAAAAAAAAAAAAAAAAAGGAAGTCAGGAGGCAGTGTCAAGTAGATGCAGATGAGAGTGTTCTAGATATAAGGAGAGAGACATGGATCAAAGGTGACCAGTTCCTAGCGTGGGTACCTATATGGCTGCTGAGGCCATCATCCAAAACAGAAGGATGCACATTTGCTATAAGAAGTGTTTGATTTTATTTAGTTAGAGATAGGGTCTTACTCTGTCACCCAGGCTGGAGTGCCGTGGTGCAATCACAGTTCCCTGCCATCTTGACTTCCTGGGCTCAAGTGATCTTCCCACCTTAGCCTCCCAAGTAGCTAGGACCACAGGTATGTGCCACCATGCCCAGTAAATTTTGTATTTTTTTTTAATAGATGGGGTTTCACCATGTTGCCCAGGCTGGTCTCGAACTCCTGAGTTCAAGCAATCCACCTGCCTCAAGCCTTCCAAAGGACTTGCAGGTGTGAGCCACCACGCCCAGCCATGTTTCATTTTAGATGTGGTAGGGTAAGTTTCCTAAGAGTTGAAGTTTCGAAATCAACTTATCAAATTATAATTTATATATTGTAAACTGTACACATTTGAAGTATATAATTTAATTAATTCTGACAAATGTATATACCTGTGCAGGGCCAGGTTCATGGGCTGTTTCACCCCAGTGGGCACACAGAGTCCCACTCTCAGAAGGGCCACATGCTTGGGGATTAATGCTCTGAGTTCATGGTGTGAAAATTTCTTAGTAATTTTACCTTTTTTTTTCTTTTGAGACGGAGTCTGACTTTGTGGCCAGGCTAGAGTGCAATGGCGCGATCTCGGCTCACTACAACTTCCGCCTCCTGGGTTCAAGCAATTCTCCTGCCTCAGTCTCCCGAGTTGCTGGGACTACAGGCACGTGCAGCCATACCTGGCTAATTTTTTTTTTAGAGACAGGATTTCACCACGTTAGCCAGGATGGTCTTGATCTCTTGACCTCATGATCTGCCTGCCTCAGCCTCCCAAAGTGCCGGGATTACAGGTGTGAGCCACTGAGCCCGGCCTTAACTTTACCTTTGAATTTGTGTTTTGTTAATAAAATTGAATGGGAAAATGGAGCATGTTGGGGGAAGGGGGTTGGCATCTTAGCTCCTGCTGAGTCTCACCTCTTGTCACCCCGAGCAACCCCCAATCTCCACCCTCACCCTACCCTACCCCCACCCCCACCCCCATCTAAGGCAGGGCATGGCAGTACCCCAGCACATTCAGAGTGAGACATGTGAGCATCCTGTCCACCACAGTCATGGTACCAAGCACATCCTGGCACAGAGGGTACAATCCCTCAAGGGTCACCCATCTGCTATGGGAAGATAGCTAGGAAAGGGAGTGTTCCTGGACTGAAGGAAACACATTAAACAGTAAATAAAAACAGCATAACAGGTTGCTAGAGACTGAAGAGAAAAGGAAAGCTCTCTAATGTAGCACCTTTAGTGGCACTTTTCCCTGCTTCTTCCTGTTTTCATTTTGCTCTGAGCCATGCAAATGCAGCCAGCCCTGCACCTGTGTAACTACCGCCACAATCAGGATGGAGAATTTCCATCGCTCTGGAATTTTCCTCTTAACCCATTGCAGAGTCAATCCTCCCCCATCATGGCACACCTTAACCACTGATCTACTTTCAAGACAGCTGAGTTTTAAAACTTATAGCAGGAGGCCAGGCCCAGTGGCTCATGCCTGTAATCCCAGCACTTTGGGAGGCCAAGGCAGGCGGATCACCTGAGGTCAGGAGTTCAAGACCAGCCTGGCCAACAGGGCGAAACCCCATCTCTACTAAAAATATAAACATTAGCCGGGTGTGGTAGCACACGCCTGTAATCCCAGTTACTCGGGATGCTGAGGCAGGAGAATTGCTTGAACCCAGCGGGTGGAGGTTGCGGTGAGCAGAGATCATGATGCTGCACTCCAGCCTGGGTAACAGGGTGGGATTCCACCTCAATTCAGAGTCCTTGTAGCAGGACTCTGAATCTCTGATCTGGAGGTCAGGAAAAGCAGGGCTGGAACAGATTTGGGTGTGATCTCACAGGAGTAACCTTGGGAGAAATGAGATAACCCAAAGAAAGTGCAAGACACTGGGGTGGGCCAGCCCCATCCAGGGATGAAGACAGAGGCAAGCAGAGAAGAGGTGGAGAGCAGGAGAATTTGCCGTATCCAGGGCATATGGACTCATAAGAAAAACTCACAGACATATTGAAAGTAGTTGGAAGTTGGGATTGCTTTGTTAATGAAGGATTAGGGAAAGCATATCTATGAGAACAGAGAACATAAACACTCCCCTTTGAAAGCCAGTTCATCTTTCAAGAGAAAGCAAACAAAACATCTGATCCTTGCAGAGCCTTCCAGGACCCTTCTCCTGCTCCCTGGTCTAGTCTCCTCCTCCTCTCCCTCATTTTGGCATAATTGGCTGCTCCTTGTCATCATATCTGTTTTAAAGAGGACTTCCCCAGTCGCCAATCTAAAAGAGCACCTAGTGGTCACATGAATTTAATGCAGTATGCCATATTGTCCCTATCACTTTTAATGTCTCCAGGCCCTCCATTTCGTCACAACCACCTCCCCCAGAACACCCCTTAAAAGACCAAGGACTTTGCCTTATTCAGAGCTCAGTTTCCAGGGCCTAGAAGAGTGTCAGGCACGTGGCAGATGCTCAACAACTGTTGAATAAAAAGGAATCACAGGCCAGACGCCGTGACTCACGTCTGTAATCCCAGCACTTTGGAAGGCTTAGGCCGGAGGTTCACCTGAGGTCAGGGGTTCGAGACCAGCCTGGCCAACATGGCGAAACCCCGTCTCTACTGGAAATACAAATTAGCCGGTCGTGGTGGCGGGGGCCTGTAGTCCCAGCTACTCTCGAGGCTGAGGCAGAAGAATGGCTTGAACTTGGGAACTCGGGAGGTGGAGATTGCAGTGAATCGAGATCGCGCCACTACACTCCTGCCTGGACGACAGAGAGACTCAGTCTCCAAAAAAAAGGAATGACAAGCCATAAAAAAACAATGAGTCATATCCCCCAAAGTGTAGCCTTACCCTGCGGAGAGGGAGGCTGGAACCAGCAAGGCTGGAGGCAGAACTGTACCTTTCTCGCCCAATCCTATCTGTAAATGAACTCCCTCTCCAGCCCTTTAGTCTCTCGGGCCCTGACTCTCTTTACCAGGCTCTTTTGCAAACATTTCACATTATATTCCCCCTTCACCGTCACAGTCCTTATGCTCGTCTTCCAAAAGAGTTTCTCCAATTAGTTCTCCCAAGTCGGCTGAGTGAGCCGCCTAGCCTGCGCTCTCACCCCAGCGCCACCCCAGTGGGAGCTCCGCCCGCGCCCGCCCCTCGCCCAACGCCCGCAGCTCCGGCAGCTCCAGCCCAGACACTCCAGCGCCGAACCCGGGTTTCTAGAGCTGGAGGGCGTGGTCTGCCTCGCGCTACGTAATGGCCCAGCCCGCGCGCGCGGCCGCGTTGCCCTGGCAACGGTAATTCAGCGAGGCCCTGCCCCGCCTCCGGCGATTGTGCGCGCGGCCCCGCCCCCGAAGCGCTCGCCGGCTCCTAGAGCACAGCTCCCGCGGCCTCTGTGCGGCGGCGCCGGTGCGGTGTGGGGCGAGCAGGCGCCTCGCGTCCAGGCGGCTCCGCAACTGGCTGCCCCCTCAGCCAGCCGCGCCCCTCCCAGCGACCCCGGGGAGGCGTGCCGAGGCCGGGCCCGCGGCTGTTCCCCGAGGAGGTCGGAAAAGGGGCCGGGGGCGCGGCGGGAACGGGCGCTGGGGCAGCGGCCCCGGTGGATGCGAAGGGCTTCGGGATCGGGAGTCTATGCCACGGCCGCCAGCTCGGCTGAGAAAGGGATCGCCATGGTAATCCCCGCCTCCCTGAAGTACAGGGGGCTCGGGCGCGCGCCGTGGAGCCCCAGGCTGTCCCAGAGAGGCGCGGGCGCCGAGGTCACTGCCTCTCCCTAGGGGCGACCTCAACGCCTTGCGAAAAGATGCGGGAACAGGGGGTGCCCGGCAGTCTGCTCCTGCCAGGGGTGCAGCAGCGGCAGCCGGAGTCAGGCGAGCCCTCTTTCCGGGTTCTAGGTCGTGGTCCTGTTGAGCAGTCCTCACCCCCAGACGGCTGATGTGGGAAATAAAGGCGGGTGGGGGTGTGGTACCGTGGTGTGGGACCCCAGGGCTCAAGGCCATGCCCACTGTGACAGGTCCAGGCTCTTAGCTGCCGCGGCCACCCTGAGTCCCCGCGCGGGACTCTGCTGCTCTGCAGACTCAGGAAGTAGAGAGTGAGCCCTGGTGCCACCACCTTCCTGCCAACAGCGTTCCTGTTCCTCAGCCCTCTTCCAGTCACTTGCGACCTCCTTCCCACCCTCGCTGTTCTTTCCAGAAGGGCTGTGACGTTCCAGCTCCTGCCCCAAGTCCTAGGGAGGCACCATTGTCTGCTAAACCAAGTATTGCACGCTAGAGCTGGGTGCACAGAGCACTTGCTAAAGGGGCCTCAACCTCGAGCTTTCTCTGCCTTATTCTCTCTACTAAACAATAACAAAACCAAAAACCCCTCATCCCACACTAAATCTGCATTCTTCTGGAAGCCCCTTGCGCCTTCCCTGTCTTGATCCGTTTTCTTTGAGACTTGGCTCAGAAGGACCGTGCCTTCTGTTTCCCCAGCGCCCACAGCCCTTTGTACCTCACCTCTGGTGCTTTGGCTGTTTTTTCTTGGAAAGCCTTACTCCTCACCCCCATTTGACTCTAGTGTAGAAATGTCATTGTTAAGTTTCTGTGTTGTTTCCAGTTTGTTTCGTGTAAAATGATTAAGTAAAATTTCTTGGTTTAAATTTAATCATTCCATGGTTGCTATTTTTATTTTTTTTGAGACAGGGTCTTGCTTTGTCACACAGGTTGGAGTACAGTGGAGTGATCACAGCTCACTGCAATCCTCTACCTCTGAGGCTCAAGCAATCCTTCTGCCCCAGCCTCCCAAGTAGCTGGGACCCCAGGTGTGCACCACCATGCCCGGCTAATTTTTGTATTTTTAATAGAGACAAGGTTTCGCCATGTGGGCCAACTGGTCTCAAACTCCTGGGCTCAAGGGATTTGCCCACCTTAGCCTCTCAAAGTGCTGGGATTACAGGCGTGAGCCACTGTGCCCAGCCAATTGCCATTTCTTTCAGGGCCCAGGGAACTGAGGCAGAATGCTGTACATAGCCATTTAAGCAAATGCCAATTAATGCGTGCTCCTTGAATGAAGGTCAAACACATTAGTGCACAGAGCCTGCAAGCCAGAGCAGCACCCTGCCTACCTTTCCTGACTCAGCTGCTCTCACTGGCCCTTTTGGTTGCCTGTGGGCTGGCCATATTGGCTTTTTCTGGGTTTCAGTCTCTTTGCTCACCTTCCCTCCAGCCTCAGAGCCTTTGTGTAGGCTGTTTGCCTTGGAATTCCCTACCCTCAGCCCACAGGCCACTCAGGGAACCCTTCCTTTAATGTCCCAGACTAGGTCAGCCCTTGCCCATGCTGTGCTGTTATACCATCATGTATTATAGGCATTATGGGCCTTTATTAATTTATTTGTTTTTGTTTATTTTTTTAGAGATAGGGTCTTGCCTTGTTGCCTAGGCTGGAGTGCAGTGGTGCCATATGTAGCTCACTTTGGCCTTGAATTCCTGAGCCCAAAGGGTCCTTCCACCTCAGCCTCCGGAGTAGCGGGGACTACAAGTGTATGCCACTGAGCCCTGCTAAGTTAGAAAAAAAAATTTTTTTGAGGGAGTCTTGCTCTGTCACCCAGGTTGGAGTGCAGTGATGCAATCTCGGCTCACTGCAACCTCCGCCTCCAAGGTTCAAGTGATTTTCCTGCCTCAGCTTTCTGAGTAGCTGGGATTACAGGTGCCTGCCACCATACCTGGCTAATTTTTATATTTTCAGTAGAGACGGAGTTTACTATATTGGCCAGGCTGGTCTCGAACCCCTGACCTTGTGATCCACCCGCCTTGGCCTCTCAAAGTGCTGAGCCACCTCTCATTGCAGGCATAAGCCACTGCCTCTGGCTAATTTTTTACATTTTTATAGAGATGGGATTTCATCATCTTGCCCAGGTTGGTGTCAAACTGGGTGCAAGTGATCTGCCAGCCTTGGCCCCCCAGAGTGCTGGGATTGCAGGTATCAGCCACCACGTCCAGCCAATAGGGCCATTTCTTCACAGCATGGGTCATGAGTAGATGTGTTTGTGATTAGGTGGCTGTCTTTCTCAGACCTCACTGGACTGTAAGCACCTTGAGATCTCCTTGGCTCCCCATCTAATACAGGGCCTGGGTACACAGTAGATATTTGTTAAATATTTGTTGAATGAATGAAGGAGGGATCTTAAAACTCAGAAAAGCAGAAATCCATATTTGCTTTCAAAATCCTGTTCCTGCATTGCATCTCAGTTGCGATGTATTCATTCACTCAGCAAATATGTATGCATCCTTGCAGTGTGCCAGATATTGGTGTAGGCTGGGGAATTCAGTGGTAAATTCATAGAATCTCTTGTGAGGGAAACAAACAAGAAACATAAACAACAATTACTATTAACTAGGGAAAAGTGCTGACGGCAATGGGATGGAAAGTGACTTTACGGGGCTTGTTGGGAAACTGTTAAAGACAGAGAGACCGCTGTACGTCCCCCCATCCCCAGCCTGGGACAGTGTCAGTTTATATTTGTTTATATTTGTTGAAGTGTCTTGGTTTGGGCAGTAAATTATGTGGTTGCTCCAGTTATAGACAGAGTATAGACAGTGTCAGGAGGTTTTTCTTTTTTTTTTTTTTTTGGTG